CCCACTCGCTATGTACAAGGAGTACTGACAGCATTCTTCTCAAAAGGGGGTCATATATATCCTCACAGAAAAATCTCCTTTTCCAAGAAAAAATTTTTTTTTTTAAGAAATTATCAAAAAGCGGCTCACGAGACACATGCGGCTCTTTGGCCCCTTGAGTGTGGCTCTTCCACAAAATACCGACTTCTGTGCATGGGCCACGAAGTTTCAATCGCACTGTACGTGTGCGCCTGCACGTGGTATTTTGTGGAAGAGCTACACTCAAAGGGCCAAAGAGCCGCATGTGGCTGGCGAGCCGCAGTTTGCCGACCACGGGTCTAGGGCAGTAAAACCTTGGGGATCTAAATGATCATAATGTTTTTCATAGGCGTAACATCAGAATCCCTTTGTTAGTTGAAGTTGTTTCTTTTAGATATTTAATATACATTTCTGTTGATCTTCAACCTCTCATTCTCTCTCCTTTCTTGTTTTCATCTCTTTAGATCATCTGCTGTGCAGTTACCATCTTTGTGTTTATCCCAAATTATTCTTTCCCCTTTCTATTTTGTCCCCTTTCTTTATATCTCTTCCCTTTCCTTATATTTCCTGAATTTCCTCTGTATTTTGCCTTTGCATTTTCTCTGTGTGTCTATTTAATGATGTTTTGTGTAATTATAGTTTCACTTTTTTGTTAACATTTTGGTCTCTCTGTGACAAATTTAAAAATATGCATGTATTGTTAAATAAATGGCCTTTCTCACTTTAAAAGACATTGTTTAGATCTGAAAAGGATTCCAAAGAAGTAGCAGGTGGGTAGATTTTAAACCATTATGTATTTATTTTTAGTGACACAGGAAAATAAAAATTGGTCATAAAATTGCAATACATCAAAATATATATATTCTAATGTTAGATGCCAGGAATGTTCCTTCAGATGCTTTCTTTTCCTCATTTCATTTCAATCTAGGCTTCAGGGGTTCTTGGTATTCTGAATATATAACTGGTGTGGGGACTGGTATCAGGACCCACCATGCTCTGCAGCATTTCCACCTCCTTCGGCAGCCACCAATGGTGTCCTCTGTGATTTTGCAGACGTCTCGTCTACAGAGGCCGGACAGATTGAGACAGTGGTTTTCAGCAGAACCCAAACCGCTTCTTACTGCAGAGAAAGAGAGTCTGTGAGGTCATTAGTCCACGAGTGAACCCACTCTTCCTGTGAGGACAGAAGAGTTCTGGATTGAGCATTTCTCCGTAGAGAGAAGGAGCTGGATGAAGGCTCTGTCCAGTGTCCCTGCCACGCTCACTGTCTCTGTTGTTCACCCAACAGCCTGAGGGTTCATAATGCCCTTCCTTTTCTTGTAAGTTCTTGTCCTTGCTAATATAAGAACTTCGGCAAATGGCAAAATGGAACAACAGGTGGATGGATAAAATATACGTTTTAAACACACCTGTTTTCTTCATTTACTCCTTTATATGGCTCTTCAGCCAAGATTTGCTAACTTCTCTTTGCCAGTCATTTTTCTTTATACGAATAATAGAACACTGAAAATAGCTGGAATAGTTTGTATTCTCACAGCACTTATATTCAATAAAGGAAATAATGACAACACAAAAATAAATGAATAATATAATATCAGAAAGTGGCAAGTGTTTAGAACAAAATAATGCAATAATGCAAAGGTCTGGATGATGGAGTTGATAAAATAGGAGAGGCTTTCTGAGGAGGATGTAGCTTTTGAACTGACATCTGAATGATGAGAATAAAAATACATTCACTCTCCTGGCTTAGTTTATTTGAAGAACAGAAAGACCTGTGTATATGGAGAATATTGGAAGAAACAATTCTAAAATTCATATGACACCATGAAAAAAATCCCTGAATAGCCAAGGAAATCTTGAGAAAGTAGAACAAAGATGGAGGCATCACACTTCCTGAAGTCAGACTGTATTCCAAAGGTATATTAATCAAAACAGTATGGTGCTGCTCTAAAAACAAACTCAATAGGCCAAGAGAACTGAATTGAGAGCCCAGAAATAAACCCCATGTATTTATAGTCAACTAATATTTGACAAGCGAGCCAAGAATTCTCAATGAGGAAAGGACAGTCTTTTCAATAAATGATGCTGGGAAAACTGGACATTCACATCAAAACAATGAAACAACTCACAAATATTGCCTTGAAGTAGATTAAAAGCTTCAACATAAGACCCGAAGCCATAAAAGTCCTAGAAGAAAACATAAGAACAAATTTACTTGACATTGGTCTTGGCAATGACCTTTGGATGTAACACCAATAGAACAAGTCATAAAAGAAAAAATAAATAACTGGGACTTCATGAAACTAAAAATCTTCACAGAAAAAAAAAAGCCATCAGCAAAATGAAAAGGAAACCCACAGAATGGAAAAAAATGCATATCATAAAGGGTTACTATCCAGAAATATATGGGACCCATACAACTCAACAGCAAAAAAAAAAAAAAGATAATCCAATTAAGATATGAACAGAAGACTTGAGTAGACATTTTTTTCAAAAAAGACTAACAAATGGCCAACAAGGACATGAAAAGGTGCTTAACTTAGCATCACTAATCTGCAGCGAAGTGCAAATCAAAACCACAATGAGATACCACCTCACACCTGTTAGAACGGCTATTATAAAAAAAAAGACAAGAGATAACAAGTACTGGTGAGGATGTGAAGAAAAGGGAGCCCTGGTACACTGGGGGTGGGTTTGTAAATCAGTGCAGTCACTATGGAAAACAATATGGAGATTCCTCAAAAATTTTAAAGCAGAACTACCATATGATCCAGCAAACCCACTTCTGGGTATACATTCAAAGGAGAAGAAATCACTATCTCAAAGAGATATCAGCATTATTGTTCATTGTAGAAATATTCACAATAGCCAAGATCCTAAGAGTCCATCATCAGGGCAGATGTTGAATCTGTTGATGGATGAAGAAAATGTGGTATGTGTAACAATGGAATATTATTCTGCCACAGAGGAGAGAAATTCTGTAAACACTGTCCTTTCACTGAGGATGGGGCAGTAATTCTCTGAGGCTGGTCATGGGACAGAAGCCCTGAGAGATACTTTTAGGGTGCAGATGTATAACCTATTGAACATGAGATGGTGTAGAAGAGCCAAGAGAGGCTCCAGGGAATGCTGGCCACAGCCCACTGTGCTGGGGTAAAACTATATGGAGGGAAACTTGGGAGTTCATTTTTTTAATATTAATTTTATGACATAATGATATAATAGTTATGGACATTATCCATATAATGATATAAATTACACCGTTGGATATTCATTACAAGACTGGAGTTCAAAAGAGAGATCCAGGAGGGGAATTTAAAAAGGATGGGACTGGCCCCAAGGACTGGATGGAGAGAGAGAAAAGAGGACCAGGAACTGAGCCTTGGGTCTCTCCAGTATAAAGAGTTATGGAAGAAAAGGAGGTAGCAAACTACAAAACAGCAGCCTATTCCATAGGGGGCCCAGAAGGAAGTACCAAAGTGAAAGATGAGGACAGAGAAGCAAAGGCAAGGGCTAAGTGGGCCAACAGAGCTTAGACCACTGAGCCAGGAGGTAGCATTTGGACCACTTGAGTCTCAAAGCTCCTTCCTGGACAGGGGTGTGGAGACGGGAGAGCCCACGCAGCTCTGACCGTTGTTGACGCCTGCTTCCATTGTGAGCACATGAACGCCCACAAACTCATGAGTCCGTACAGTCTGACTCAGCATTGTCCACAGTTCAGCAGAGGCTGATGAATAAGCAGCCTGGGGACAGCATGGAGTCCACATTGGCAGCTGCATTTCAAGCAGCAGGTTTTTCTGTATTTGAGTCATAGCCTTCAATAGTCCTCGTGGATCATACTGCCCAGTGTGAAATTCAGAAGAGTGCCTAGCTGTCGTGTAAGACTCCCTCCACGTCCTGTGTGGAGTAGGGTTCGGTATCTGAAAGAGGAGCCGCACACAAATGAGAGAGAAATGACACGAGATAATTTTGAAATATTGGGGGACCAGGCGGGCAAGTCCAGAAGGACTTCCACCGATGCTCAAGCCGCTCCAACCTTTTATTTGGTCTGGGGTAGCCCTAGGGTAAGGAGGTTTGTCTGACACATGGATTAGCTCATCGGTCTACACAAGTATCTAAGGAATTCAGTGAACTAAGGTGGGGATGATGCTTCAGCTACCATTATCTAATTAACTGGGTGGTTCACAGTCCTGACCTTTGCTAGGACTTCAAAGGTTACTAGCTTTTGGGGGTCTCTGTCTATACTCAGCTAGTGAAGACAATAAATGGTTTCCTGCACCTAGCAGTTAGTACAATCTGAACAAATCCTTCTTTAAATTAAAAGATTTAATGTAACGTTCCAATACAGTTATAACAGCGGTCGGTCCCTTTATTTTCCTGAAGTGTCTAGTTTGGATAAAAAGATGTATATGCAGCCTACTTTTACAACCACGGACATACCTCTTCTATAAAGAGACCTCATCTCCAAACGGAAATGTTTCCAGGTGCAAACATAAAGACTATTTGGTGTAATATGTGTCTTCTACATATGCTCTGTCCCACTGATATGGAGCAGCCTTGCCTGACGAACAAACACAACTCTCTCTACACCGTCGCCTAGTGCCCTCCTTAGCCCTGGGGCATTGTTTCCGGGTGCACGTATGAATACTTAAATTCCAGACTGTGGAGCACTGCTACCGACCTCAGTCCTTGCCTCTGGAAATGATGAGTTTGAACCTGACAACACAAAGGATTTGCGACCGTAGAATATCACCCTTTTATTACCCTCTCCATTCCCCAGCACAATTGCTTTCTTCCTGCATAACTAATGAGTTAGTGTTCCAAAGTGTGTGCTCCAGCCTCATGTCCCAGGATCAGATTTAGGCTTTGGGAACCTATTTTTTGTGGCTGTCATTTACCATAAGAATCCCTTCCTGGAATGTGGATGAGCACATCATCTTCTCAGTAACCCCTCCTCTTTTTGAAACCCAACACGGGGTGTGTGCCATTTAGAGAGAGTGATCAGTAAGGCTGGGACAGTTCTATTTCGTGCCTGTTTTTTCCGATGCAGTTATAACAGGGGTCCCTTTACTTTCCAAAAGTGTCTAGGTATGTGTCCAGCCTCTTCTTACAACCATGGACCTACCTCTTCCATAAGAGAGCACATTTGCATCCATTCAGGAGTCAAACACATCGTGACAGAGATCCCCAAGACATGCCCTTAGCACTAGCTGCTGGTGATGGGATTCTGTCCATCTGCTTTGACCTAGTGAGTAGATATAGTGATAGATCTGAAAAGCCACTGCCATTGAAGCCTTTCAGATTCACCTGCCTAGAAATCAGTGATCATGCCTCATCAGGGCACCCCAAGACACAACGTATGGAGAAAGCAGAAGTGACCTCAGCAGGCAGTTTGGTCCATGGCAGAAGAGTGGTCTCATTCCTATCCTACCCTGTTACGGTCCCAGAGAAGCTGTTGATATTAGGTCTATGAGCCCATAAGACTGATGCCAGGTGTTTTGTTGGACCTGCCAGATAGCCTTCTAAACCACAGACCCCAGTGGGCAGCCATCACCTTACCTGCGGGTAAGAGAGTCAGAAGGAGGAGAGTGGAGAGAAGCACATGGTATCTCATGGTTGACCAGCCAGTGAAGAAGAAAGACATCAGAACAGTCAGAGTCTGGAGTCTCTGAGGATGGCAGGCCCTCGGCTTTTTATGATGCACCCAGGCCTGTGGTTTGTTCTTGGTTAGTAGACCCTGAAAAAGCTAGAAGCACTCAGTCTCCCACAGGAAATCTCCAGGCGCAAAAGTACACACTGTGCTGGTAACTCAACGGATGATAAAGTCAAAGTCAATGCTGCCCATTTCCCAGGGGTCGGGGTAGCCTCCCTGTAAGCCGTCTTCTCTCCTGCTTTCCTTAGGCACACGCGTATGTGACTGCTGGCCATACTTGATGACTTCCTGTGTGCCAGGTGGTGTTGCAAAGCTAGGTCACACCAGCTGGATCAATCAGATCATGGGAGATGAACAGTAAAACAGGTGCAGGCAGTCATATACGTACACCAAGGAGAAGGGAGGATGGGAATGTCAGGAAAGGCTTCATGAAAAAGATGATAAAGAACATGCTCCAGCCCTGGCCTGTTTTTCTCAGTGGTTAGCACATAAGCCCACGGACTGAAGGGTCCTGGGTTCGATTCCAGTCAAGGGCATGTAACCCGGTTGTAGGCTTCATCCCCAGGCCTGGTTGGGATGCATGCAGGAGGCAAGCAATTGATGTGTCTCTGTCACATCGTTTCTCTCTCTGTGTCTCTCCACTGTTTCTAAAAATCAATGGAAAAAAATATCCTCAGTGAGATTTATGCTATGTTGAAAGCATATTTCAACCCCTTTGTAGATTTTGTGGCCTTTGGAAATATATTTTTATTATTTTTATAAATGTTTGTTTTTAATTAAAACCTGACATTACAGAAAATGTAGAAAACATAGAAAAGGAGGAAAAAATCAAGTTCTTGGAATTCCACTGCTGAAATTTAATCATAGCTATACATTTTAGAAAACTTTTCTCAGTATAGGTAGGTATCTTTTGCTATCTTAGCAGAATAGTCATTATAATAATTGTCTTTTGGTTAAAACTAAATTGCACTGTCTGGATAGAAATCTACTCTGCTGATGCACTGTCGGCCCTGAATCTGTTTCACCTGCACCCCAGGCCCAGAGAGGAGAGAGGAGGGAACTTGATTCCTTGCGGAATCCGCCATGGGTTAGGTTGCTGCTGGGGCACTGATGTCCTCTCGCAATCTAGGACCCCTTTGGGAATGTCGGAGAGCCAATTTCAACCCGATTCCCGCAGGCCAGGCCGAAGGGCCCCAACGGTGCACAAATCTGTGCACCGGGCCTCTAGTATATATATATTTATCAATGTGTTATATGGTAAATAATTAGGAAGTTAACATTTTAAGTGCTTAATAGCATATGAAAATTTAGGGTTATTTGAAAAATCTGGTAACTCATTCATTGTTTTTTAAGATGTAAAAATAGAATATAAACTCCAGTTATCTAAAAACATACTTCTCATGATATTTTAAAAACACATTAGATACTGACAATGAAGAATTTTTGTATTTTCCTGTGTTCTAAGTTTCACTTTTTCACTTCAACTTTTTTCTGGAAAATTTTCCCGCCTTTTCCCGTCTCTTAAGTAGGTCAAGTTTACGATATGTGTTCTGGGTGGTGTGGGTATTGGTATTGGTTTTCAATACTAATCTTAAATTAATCACCTTCCTCAATTCTGTCTGTATGTTGGTACCAATTGCTACATAACTAATTATCCCAAATCATAGTGGCTTAGACAACTTTCACTATCTCAGAGTTGCTGCAGGTCAGGTGTCTCGATGCACAGGTCTATCTAAAGGCACTCACGTGGTTCTGGGAAGGATTCAGTCACCTCTGGGCTGCTGGGCACGCTCAGCTCCTTGCCATGTGGGCCTCTCCATGGAGCATCTCCCAGCATGGAAGCTGGATGGTTCAGAGAAAACGGGAAAGGGAGAAGTGTGAGAAGCACGGAAATCTCAGTCTTTTAAAGCTCAGTCACAGGTCAGAGATAGATGATCACTGTTGCCATATGCTGTTCATTAGAAGCAAGCCACTAGGTCCACCCCACAGTCCAGGGGAGGGCATGATACAGGGCAAGAAGACTGGAGATGGGGATTCTTAGGGCCCCAGTCAGAAGCTGCCATTCTGTGGGTCATAAAGATTTTCAGTGATATTTTTCCATTGTTAAAAAATAGCATTGTCAGCCCTAGCCAGGTGTCACAGTTGGTTGGAGCATCATCCCATACACCAAAAGATTGTTGGTTAGAACTCTCTCTCTCTCTCTCTCTCTCTCTCTCTCTCTCTCTCTCTCTCTCTCCCTCCTTTCCACTCTCTCTAAAAATCTATAAAAATATATCCTCAGGTGAGGATTAAAAACAAAATAGCATTATCAAATATTGAAAAATATTTTTCAATTTTAGCTTTTACTTCTTTTTGTTCCCTTCTATTGACTAATTTTGGGACCTAGAATTTCTGGAACAATTTTAAACAATGGTATCTAATAGGAAATTCTTATTTTAAAACTAACTTCTTCTATTTCATTATTATGCAATGTGCTGATAGATGTTTTAAAGCATTTTTTATCAAGGCAAATTTATTCATATGTATAAAGAAAACGTATGTTCTATCTCAGTCTTTATTGTTAAAACAAATTCTTTTGAATTTCTGTCTCTTTTAGGTTAGTGCTCAATCTTTATGAGTTTATTTCTCAGCCCCTGTTTTTCCCTAAAATAATTTTGAGTTTGTAAGTGTTGGGGGGGGAGGTGGTGCAGGGGGATGATGATCTTTTGTTATTAAAGGAGAAATGTGGAAATTATGTTTAAATAGATACACTGTAGAGCACAGTCATTGTCAGAATTACACAAGTTGAATAAAATTTCTATTTTATATTGTCTAACATAATAACCCTACCTATTTGGTAGGAGTTACTTTAGATCATCTTATATATCTATATATTTAAATATATAAGATCAGCAAATCAGTATTAGGAGTATAGTTTCTTTATCATTTCCTTTCTAATTATTAAGAATGTTTTTGAAATATTTTATTATTTGTAATTAAATTCCATTTGCATTGCTTTAGGATCAAATATGCCTGTCTGTGCTCTTTCCACTTAGAATTATTGAGGGTTTTGGAAGAAATATGTAGTCTGTTCTTATGCTCTGGAGAAAATAGAAATTGAATTATATGTCACATGTATGATGTTTAGAGTAGAACCTGTCTTCCAAATTTGGCCTGTTTATTGTTTTACTAGTAGATCCTCTAGAGTCTGTCTTCATGTATTTAACACCTACCCACTCTATCAGCTGTGAGTGGTGCATTCCAGTCTACAATGCTCCTCACCACCTGTTCAACAGGTAACTAGAGCTGTGTGTCCTACACACAGCGGTATGATGTAGTCATTGTGTGAGCAGCAGCCACAGGATAAGCAGAGGGGTATCAGCTGGATTGGTCAGAACAGAGGGGATTTAAGCCAGGATTGTTGCACGGGTGTTGAGGTTAGGGTTAGCGTTAGGGAGTGCGGAGACAACAGGAGGTGGCAGCATCCAGCCCTCCATGCTGTCTAGGAGGGCTCCCCCAGGAGGCCACCTTCCCAACTGCCATCAGTGCCTCTGGTGCTCTGAGAAGAGACCTTTTGGAAGACATGAGATGAGTTGTAGAGCACCATGAGAAGGTGGACAGGAGCCAACTGTGGTGGCTGTAGTGAGCAGTCACTGCTGTGACAATGGCGACAGGAATAAAAATGAGGAAGGAAGGCCCTTCCCTTGTCTCCAGAATCCAAGCTCTCCCAGCCACTCGGCAAAGGAGTCTGGGAAACAAATGCAGGGTCCTGGTCCCCATGTCACCAAGGAGCATGGTGTAGAAGAAGGACAAAGTGACACAGTGGAAGCAATGTCTTAGTTGGTCTTAATTATTTTTGACACTCAAATGTTCTACCTGAGTAGGTTGCAAGCTCATTTGGGATTTCATGGCAGGTTTGAAGTAGCCCACGGAAACTGTTTCATGAGTTGGTCTGGACCTGGGGAAGAACTAAGTCAGATTCTCTTGGGCAGTTGGACTTGTTGCTAATTGGCCCAGATGTGTGTTACTCCCTGGAAAGGGGGGAGAAGCAAAAACAAAAGAGAAACAATATGTAAGGATGACAACATCAACCAAGATGCTAGAATGTCCAAGAGTGGCTGCCAGATGCGGCCTGCCCCTGAGTTAAGGTGCAGTGTTTGGGGAGTAGAGGCAGGAGGATGGGTGCAGAAGGGACATGGGTTTCCTAGGAGAGGTGCCCTTGAGGCCAGGCATCTGTCCCCTTCTGTTGCTTCTCGTATGTCAGCGCCTGGAGCAGAGTTTTTCAACCTCAGCACTGTGGACACTTGGAGCAGATAATTGTGCCTAAAGGTCATGCCTGCACATCGTAGGGTTGTTGGTAGCATCCGTGGCCTCAGCCCACAGATGCCACTAGCACCCTCCTGGTTGTTACAACCAAAAGTGTCTCCAGACATTACCAATTAGGTGCTAGAGCAAAAGCATCTCCAGTTGAGAACTGTGGTTTACAGCATCTAAATCCTCCTGCAGAGTTCCTTTGTTTGCTTGTTTCTAGTTATTTGGACAATTCTTAGGGCTTAGGTTTGGCTCTAAGGCCATCAGGTTGCAGCTGACTTGAATGAACCTGGGGATAGTTTGGGTTATAGGCATGGGTCAAGAGCCAAGCCAGACAGAATGCTTTCCTGCCTCAGAAATGGTGCCTGTTGATTTATACTTGGGACTGAGAGGGAGAACAGTGTAGGTTTTTCTGCATGACTGGACTTCCTCCAAGCTTCAGAGGTACAGGAAGTTATGGGGGTGGGAGCTAGGGTTACTCTGGAAGGCCATGTTCTGGCTGGAGAGATATAGCAAATTCTCTTTTTTTCTTAGTGGGTTTTTTCTTTCTAACTTCTCAATTACAAAATTGACATACAATATTATATTAGTTTCAGATGCACAGCAGAATGATTAGACATTTATATAATGTACCAAGTGACCCCCCCATAAGTCCAGTACCCACCTGGCATCATCCATAGTTATGCAATATTATGAACTATACTAGGGGCCCAGTGCAGAAATTCGTGCACCTTGAAGGGAACTGTGAGCCGTGAGGCTGCAGTGGGCACAGGGGCAGGTCTCAGCCCATCCCTGGTGCCCTCCCCCTATGGCCCCTGGTCCCGTCTGCTGGCAGCCCCACTCCCACCACTGCCACTCCCACGCACTGAAGGTGCTGGCCCCGCTTACACCCACTAACAGTGCCAAGTGACTGGGGCCAGCGCCAGCAGCAGATGCAAGCAGTGGCTGCTGCCCCAAACGCCCCTCAGGAGCAGAGGGTGGTGGAGAAGTCCTGGACAGGTGCCGGGCAGGACCCTGGCATGCAGGAGCAAGGAATTTTCAGTAACCGCCAGAGGCTCGCCCCATGACAGCAACCTTGGTCTGGCACCCCCGCTCACCTGCTCCACCATCTCACCGCAGCCAACGCCCACCATGTTTCGCACTCTGCCAGCCTGTTGCCAATGCCTGCCATGTTCCACGTGTGCCTCCTGGTGGTCAGCACATGTTATAGCGACCGGTTGTTTGGTTGTTTCACCGTTCAGTCTATTTGCATTATAAGGGTTTTATATAGAGAGATTCCCTAGGCTGTACTTTACATTATACTAGGTGAACTAATTCAGACCCAGAGAGATAAATACTGTGTGATCGTACATGCAGGATCTAAAACAGTGGCACTCATAGTAACAGAGAGGAGAGCAAGGGGATGGGTAGGAATTGGAGAGATGATGGTCAAAGGGCACAAACTCTCAGTTAAAAGATGGCTAACTTCTGGAGACAGAAGAAAAAAATACGCATTGATTCTATCCTCTTCCCATGACCAAGGGAGGCTCTATGACTTTTCACCCAAAAGAAAACTCTAACAATGATGGTTTCTCTACACAAAGTAACTAAAACCACCTCACAGTAGACCGAATGGGTGACTGATGTGTGGGGAAAGCCGTCAGTGGCTATTGTAGGTAAAATAGTGTCACACCTCCTCTGGCAAAGAAGGCCATATTCTCATCCCTGGAACTATGACTCTGTCACCTGACACAGCCGAGGAGTTGAAGGTAGAATTAAAGTTGCCAATCACATCGCCTTAAAGCAGGGAGGTTATCCAGCTTACCCAGATGGGCCAGTGGCATCACAGGGGTCCCAAAGGGGAGCGGAGGTAGGAGTGTTAGGAGGTGAGAAGGAGAGATGCCCATCGCTGGCTTTAAAGATGGATGAAGCCTGGTGTCTGGTGACGAACAGCAGCAACTCCCCATTAATGTCAAGACAGTCTCCAGAAAGGGATGTAGCCCGGACCACTGAGCCTTAATTTAGCCCTGAGATACATGTCAGACTTCTGCACTACAGAACTCCTTGTTGGGCCTCAAGCCCCTGGGTCTGCGGCCATTTTCAGGGTAGGCAGAGGAAGCTGAGGCCCTGGTTCCCGGGGGTGGGGGGGGAGGGGAGGGAGGGGAGCAGGGGAAGCTTGTGGCCAGGCCTGGTGGAAGGTGGGGCCCAATGAATCTCGTCTCAGCTGGGAGCACATGGAGAGGCCCTGAGTGCTCACTGCCTTGGGGAAGCGTGAGGACAGGGTGTTTTCTCAGCTGTGACTCTGTCCCTGGTGCAGGATTCTGATGATGGCTCACTGACTGGGGAGGTCTGACTGCAGGGTACCTGTGGGCTGCCCTCCATCAGGGACAGAACCCCATGGAACAAGGTCAAGCATCTTCCCAAGGGGAAAGCAGCCCCCCTGGTGAAGGCTAAAGGGGGCCGGGCTGGGCACAAAGGGTAGGGAGAATGAAAGTGTCCCCATGAAGCCTGGAACTGAGCCACGAGCTCATGCAGACCAGATGGAAAAATGCGACCAGACAGCACTGCAGCGAGAATAGAGCACATGGGTGTACACAGTGGCTCTGTGTTTGCGAGTGCTTCTTTATTATTTATTGAGGACTCAGCAAGAATCCCTGTGAAAGACAAGACAGTGGGAGATGGAGATGGAGAACCAGAGAATGAAACATCCCAACAAGCAAAACCCTTTGAAAGGCCTCAGTCCTGAGGGGGTATCGTCGGGTCGATCCGTGATTGGTGTCCCATGGGCAGGCAGCACGGCTGGCCGCTTAGACATCTCCCAGCCTGGACTTCTGTTTCGAGGCAGAATACTTGGCAGGAGCCATTTGGACGCTCACAGAGCTCCTTGAATTTGCCCCGGGCTGCACAGAGAAGAGGGTTATTGTAACTATTGAGTCATCTCCCTGAATGTCTATCGAAGCACACAGAGGGGGAGTGTGTCTTGAAATTATGTTGTGTTGATTGCTGTTGCTGTTTGAGTCCTTAAGCCAACACTCAGAAGTCTGCTTTCCCACAAAGATTTGGATTCTTGGCATTTTGGGGGAACGTGGCATCGCTGGGTGTGTCTAAGTAACAACAGGCCAGGCTGGGGAGCTGCGCCCCTTTGGCAGTTCCAGGCAGAAGCACCAGCTTCTCCCAGCCCTTCGCACTCCCGAGTAGCTCCTCATGCTGATGCACAGGATGCGTTTCATTTTAAATCAGCCCTGGACTGCTAATGATAGTAAGAGGTATCAACGCCAGCGTGCCCACGTCTCCTTATTCTGGAACCAAAGGCCAGTTCTTGGATAGCTTCTAATCATTATAGAGCGTTTATATACATCCAGAAAATACCTCTTGAAACCCAGATGCATTACATTGAATTTATCTCTTCAGTGTTCACAAAGCAATCGGTTAATGGCTATGAAGATCAAATATGCAACATCATATTTTTACTGTATAGATGAATTCAGAAATAATTTAAGGGTATATTGTTGTTTTTAAATCAGTGACCATTGTCATTGTTGAGCACTGTGTAGAAATCACTTGAAATCTGAGTTTTTCATTCCCTGGGCTGCACATCTCTTCCTTCTGTCTGCAATCAGCTCAACTACTGTGTAGATGGGCCCCAGGGAAATTGGGCTAGAACTGGCCTGTTGCCACTAGAAGGGTCATCTGAGGTTAGAATATGAGAGGATGAAGCACTGGCATGTCCTGCGACATGTTAGAAGTCACTCTGAGATGTCCCTCTATTGGGGCACGTCTTGCATTCTACTCTGCTGTCCTGCCTCCACCTGCCTCCACTGCTGGGTGATGAACACCTTACTCTTTTCTGTATGTATATCCCAGAGCTCAGCTCAAGTCTCAGCACATCATAGGCATTCAGCGAACAGTTGTGCAATACTTGGTTAATGCAGAGCTATTTTTTATCCTTTAGCATGTTGGTACAGACATGTGTTGTCACTTTGATGGCACACATCTTGGAGCTAAGTGTGCTGTTATGTGGCAATTGACAACCGAATATTTCCTTTTAAATCACAAAGGAGCTCTATAAAAATATGACCCACTGTTACCTGTGTGTGTAAGAAGCCAAGTAACATTCAGGGTATTTTTCTTACTTTTGGGGCCATTCATTCCCTTATAGAGTGTGGGGTAGTCAGCACACTCCACACATAAACAGAGACACACTTGCACACACGTGCACACACATGCAGACTGTCACTGAGGGAGAGTCAGGTGGACAGAGAGCCTCAAGCACTCTTAGTACTAAACAGACGCCATGGTTCTGACTCCCAGTCAGGTCCCCTAAGGCTCAGGACCTGGGCTCTCAAATATCACATTGTTCTTGATTTACCTTTCTTTTAGTCATTTTCTAAAGGAACCAGGAAACCTCTCCTCCACCACATGCAAATGCTGTGTTTGGGGCTTTTTGTCTGTTCCCTGGCAATGAAGGTGGCTGACCCGTGACTTTGTGGAAGTGAAGGGCCATCACATCCTTTTTCCCTCATATGCTGCTTCCTAGTAAGGGTGCACAGCGGTGCTTAATTAGCAGATACCTGAGAAATAGAAGTGTTTTCCCACCTCCAGGCTCCCCCAACTGCAACCTCCAGAGTAGTTCTAAAATTGAGTTGATATTTGCCTCACAAGCTGCACCCACAACCTCCCAAACCCAAAGTACTATCTACCTGTTCACAGTAAGTGTTCCTTTAAAACACGGATTTAGACAGGCAAGTCTGGATTTGCCAAGAATAGGCATGCCCCCGAGCATATTTTCTGTTGAAAAATTGGGGAAGTGTCTTTTTTCAAACAGGAGAAAGCATAGCAACCAACAATTCCTTAAAATATAAGAGGATTGTCCACATTTACACATGTCTGACTACTTGGATACTCCTCCCTGACCCTTGAGGGCCTGAATTCTCAGGAAAAGATAAGATATTCCACTAGATCTAGAGCAATAGGTTGCTTATTCTACACACCCAAGAGCCTACACACCCAGGAGTTGTAGGGCATTTCCTGGTCTATCTTGGGTGTCTGGTCATCTCCTTGAGTGAAAGCAAGGAGATGCCCACAGATGCTTCGCACCTGGGATGCACCTGTGCATGTTGAGTGCAGGAAGATACACTCTGATCCCTTTGTTTAACTAGATGTTGAAAAGGAAGAGGAAAAGCCAAGTGTGGAGATGGAGCATCACTGGGCAGAGCCAAGCCCAGGGGACCAACATTATGGAGGCACAAGTTGGAGAATTCTTAGACGCACAGTACACCTTTCAAATACCCCCCCACACACACACCGCCACTAATCCCTTCTGCCTGGGGCCCTACAGCTCTGGTGTCCTCTCATGCCAGCATCTTAGGGTAACTCGGCCTCTGCAGACCTTTTGCTGAAAGTAAGCGGAGGGTTTCTGGAGGCCACGTTTATAATAACACATCAGTTTTTTTTGTTTTGTTTGTGATCTAGGTCTAGAAACTGCTAGTAAATTTGCCTAATTAATTTTATTTTTAGAAACGGAGAAGATAAGATTTCAAGCACTTGAAACACCCTCGATTTCATTTCATCTGAGTGGCTATGGAGAACTAAAGAGACATGGCTGCAGGTAAGTGGTTGAGGGCTCTCAGCCAACAGGTCTTCTCCCTCCACAGGGCACAGGTGACAGACTTCTGCTCTGAGCACTGGATCCCCATGAGGTCCAGGCACTTCGCCCTTACCAAGGCTCTGCAGAGTTCATTTGGTTACCTGGTGGAACTTGGCTCAGAGAGAGAAGAATGGTACAGAGGAAGACAGCAATCCTCATGGCTTCCGAGAGGAGAAAGCTTGGCTTCGTTTCCAGGAGGCAGAGAAAACTTCCGTCTGCGGTTCTCACAGCAGCGGAATGTCTGTGTCTGGGTAGTAAGTGCCTTCCGTACCTCATTAGGGATGTTCCTGGACAGAGAGGTCCTATGAAGACACAATGGCCTTCATAAGGAGACCAAAAATCCTTGTTTTGTTGGACACTTGGTTCATTAGGAGGATGTGGGTGCACAGTTTTGACCAGAAATCCTTGTGAAATGGGAACATAAGGTACAAACATTTTGGCAACAGATTAAGGTCTATGAACAAAGAGCTCTCTATATTGTTACAATGAGCCAGACTATGTTGAGAAACCAGCCAGTTTAGTCAGTGACTAAACACTTTGTTAGTGAACACTTCCTGGGCTTCATTAGCCCTGCTAATAACTAATGCCCTCCCCCCCCCCGACTACTCCTGGTCTGAATGTCCAGGTGCTCTGCTTCCATATAGTGTTCACTATGCCATGTTAGTTTGCTGAACATACATTCACCTCCCCGATGATGTGTGAGCTTCTTATTTTCCAGGACCATGCTCTGCTCCCCAGAGCTGAGGAGACTGTTGCGTCCTGCGGCCATATCCATCCAGGTCCTCCACATCAGCTGTCAAAGTGCAGGGCAGTGAGATGATGAACGTGGAGGCAGTGGGTCTGGATTTAACTTCTAATTCTCTAGACCTGCTGCTAATGAGAGGTCTGGTCCTCCTCAAATCTCAGCAGCATCTGTTGAATGTAGATCAGGGTACTCTCAATCATTACTGTGCATAAAACCAACTGGTAAAGTGGCTTCCAAATGCACACTTAGATCTACTCCAAGAAAATTAGTTTGGTCAGGTGGAGGGAACCTGGAAGTCTGCATTTTTAACAAATTTCCCAGGTAGCGATTCTGAAATTTATTCTGGAGTACTCACTGAAAAATGTTAACTTAGATCATCCCTAGGCTTCTTTCTAGTTCTAATATTAGCATATTCTAAATTCTCTGACTTACTAGAATAAATGTCATGCTTGGCTTTTATGAGTGTTAGGAAGTGTGTGTGTGTGTGTATGTGTGTGTGTGTGTGTGTGTGTGTGTGTGTTTGTGTTTGCAGCATAGAAGGGGGAAGCAAACACCTTAATCCATGCATAATTGGATTCTAGTTTTATAAGGAATACTCAGGGATTGGCCTGGGTGAATAAGATGACAGAGAGACCAATTTGGAAGAAGGCTATTGCAGTAATCAAGGTTCAGTGAGGCTCCAAACTATACAGAGAGAAGGGAGGGAAGATGTTTGCAATACAAATTATAGGGATGTAATGACATGTGAAAAAAAAAAGTGGGCACATGCGAATAACCCAGTCTGCTTGCCCTGAGCACCAAAGTATAGGGCAACAGCTTTGGTTCAGGTCTGGAACAGTGAGGGCATTTTCCTGGTGGCAGTCCCAACACGGCTCTCACTCATCTCCATCCTAGTGTGCATGCCCTTGTGTCAACCCCTTCCCACTGAAGGAGATGACACATGTAACCAATGAGATAGTGCCCAAATGATGGGTGTCAGTCCCCAGGCTCAATCATCGGGGATGTTATGGGAACCCTCCCTCTGGGTGAAATCTGCTTACATTTCATGAAGCTACTCAAGCAAGATGCTGGATGTGCCCATGTGGTTAGAAACTAAAGCCCCTTGCTAACAGCCTTTTGAATGTGACATCTCAAAGGAAGATCCTCCAGACCAAGCCAAGTTGGGCTGCCTGATCCCTGTCTCTGTGCCTTCCAGCAGCACCAGCATTTCTATGGCACCCACCGAAATGTAGAACCTTCCAGAGGTTCGGGCGGGCTTTGGAAGCCATCACTGCACACCTATTTTAGAAAACATCAGGTCCAAGGGGCCCGAGGTAGAAAATTTTCCAGTCTTTCCAGGACCTGGGCTGCCAAGTTGAACTAGAAACACATTTGCTTTGACAAAGCTCCAGAAACTAATGAGTTTCCTGGAATGATCAAGTCCCGCTGGAGGCAGGGATGAGCGCAGGTCCGCAGGGCAGATTCACAGGGCGAATTTGGGGAGAGCATCTCTGTTCAGGCTCAGCCTCTGCAAACATTCAGAAGTGCCCTCAAGGGCCCAGCAACCACTTCCCCTGCCTGAGGCCAAAGCGAGGGCATCCGTGCCCTGCAGGAGCCAACACAAAACTTTCTGAGTCAACTTAGAAACTGCCCCTGGGATGGCATGGACAGCAGTGAACAGCATCGGGGACACTTCTGGGGGCCAGACCACTGGTTCCTATTTGGAATGACAGAGAGGGTGTCCCAGGAACTTCATCCTCCAATTTTTCTAGTCAGTTTTACACTCTGGGAGCTGCCATTATTGACAATGGACATCTTTTGATGCTTGAGGTTCCAGGGATGGTATAAGTCCCCTCCAGTGTACAAGGAAGGCTTTATTCAGCTGCACTAAAAGCACGGTGAAGGTCACCCATTACCTGAGCAACAGCCAAATTCTGTCTCCAAATGACAGAAAGAACCACTGCTGCTGGGCCCCCGCTGGCCAGGGGGCACACAGACCATGCCTTGAACAGACCCTGCAGAGAGATGGAACCTACCTGTCCTGACAGGAAGGGCCTGGCAGATCCACCAGGTGGAAGAAGGCAGTTACATGGTGAGCGCTAAGGTAGTTCTGGGGCTGAAAGTCCTCTGAAGGCAGCGCTGCTGTGTGTATAGATGTGGCTTTGGAGCTCCTGCCTTCCACAGGGTGCTCTGCCAACCAGGCATCTGGGGGAAGTACTGAGAGCTACCCAGTGCCCTGTGGCATGTAGCATTAGCGTCCTCAGACCTCCAGACAATGCTGAGGAAAGACTTACTACTGTCAAACTGGCATTTGAACTTGTAATTTATTTTGTAAGAAACTGAGTCCACACACAGGACTATCAAAATATAATGTAAACCGGAAGCTATGAGATTAATGTGTAAATGGCTAGGGAAGCTTGGGGTAACGTACCCACCTAGAGCGTCTGCATCTCTCCAGCAGCACATTGACCTGAGATGCAAGTTTTCAGTATCGTAGAGGTATTTTAGTGGAAACAGTCATAAGGAATATTCTCTTGGCCTTGTCCATTTTAGTTACTGTTGGTCACTGTAAATGTGTGTTTAAAATTGTTGTAATGTTAATAAAGTTCTCTCAAATATGAGATTCTATAGGAACTTTGATTTCTAAACATTTCTCATCTTTATAAAAATTAACTTATCCAAGTTTATTCACCAGAGAATGAAGAGGATTTTTTGTTGGATCTGTCGCTTATTAGATATAAAGAGTCTCGGGCACAGCCCAGCTCCGCTGCAGCACTACACGCGTGTCAGCAATGTCCCCACAGTCTGCACACACATTAAAGTGTGATCAGCCCGGCATTTAGATCAGTTCTCAATTTGGGTTACACTGGAACCACTTGATGAGAGTTAAAAACTACTGGTGTCTGGATCCTTCTCTCAGAAGTATAAGCTCAGCGAGTTCTTGTGTGAGTCCTGAGCACTGGGGCTGTTAAACATGTTCTAAAACATTTGAATTCTCTAATCAGGGAACTTGCAAAAAATATGCAGCCCATCTGTACCCCAGAGGAGTCACTTCAGTTGACTGTTAGCCTCACAAAGCTCACACTGTGTATAAACCAGAAACACAGAAGGTTCGATGGAGAAGGTGGGTCAGAGGCTGGAGGGTTTACATGGGTAGAACTATGTCAACTGACTCCCATGTAAAGAAAGAGGCAGATGAGGAAAAACGAAATGGGGGAAGACTTCAGATATCAGGATTCTTTGAACTCAAATCACATACAGTCTTGGCTCCTCAATCTGTGTTCAGGTCTCCATAGACCTGAGGATGAGGAGTGAGAGGTGATCCAGTTAAAGGATCTCAGACTGGGAGACCTGGGGGAGCAGTGGCATGGACGTTAGAGTCTCGATTGTCCCCCTGCCTAAGAAAATGGGATCTGCCTGAATTTAAATCCTTTTGAGTCTAAATATTTTTTTTAAATCAAAGTTGGAGAAACTTGTATTAGCCATTAGAAAACCAGAAGGTTTTTTCTTTGGAAATATCTTTAAGATATGTCTGCAGCATGAATAGCTGGGATGTGTAACCTTGCCAAATTTTCTCTACCCCGAACTTCAGAATTTACACAGGAAATTTCAACTCACATATTTCACCTTAAAGTTTATTAAAGGCTTAAGTGAGGCAACTGAAATGTGAAAATCTGGTTTTACACTGCTCTTCGATGTTCACGTGAGAAAGATATCCAATTGTGTGTATGTCTAAAAAAGAATGAAAAAATGGATTTCTCATTGTTGAAAGCAAAATCTACCTATCTCCTAAGGAGCACATTTTTCAAATTAAAAATACTCTTTCAGATAACGGGGAGTAAAAATTAGGGAAAATGTGAAATTACAAATATTTAGAAAATAAAGACTTGTGCAAGTGGTAGGATGCCACCTATATTTGCCTCAAAAATATCTGGATGTATACATCTCAGGAATTGTGAACTATAACATTAAATGTAAAGAAGGAGAAAGGGATACACACATACCTACACACACACACGTGCACACACATACTCGCACACAGGCAGCAATTTTGTTCGTTTAAAGCGATTGCTCACCACGCCCATCCTTCCTGCCGCAAGGGGCCCCTCAAGTCCCTGCAACTGAGAACAAAGTGGAAAGTTCTGTGGTTGTCAGTGGGAAAGGCTCCTTTCAAGCTGGCAGGTTTGGTGCTAACGTTCTAGCTCCGGTCAGAAGAGGAAGCACAGCCAGGCCACGTGCTCAGCGGCTGAGCGGGGACCTAGGAACCAGGAGGTCACAGTTCCATTTCCCTTCAGGGCTCACGCCTGGTTGGCGGCTCCATCCCCAGTGGGGGGCGTGCAGGAGGCAGCAGGGCCACGATTCTCTCTCATCACTGACGTTCCCTCCCTGCCTCCCTCTCCCTTCCTTTGTCAAATCAATAAAAATATATTTTAAAGAAAAAAAAAGGGAAGAATAAGGAAGTGTACATGGGGGGAACCTCAGATGTTCAGGATCCACCCACAGCGACCCTCCCTGATGGCACGTGTTCACAGAGGGTTTGACTGACACCGTGTTCAAGGGGTGACGAGGAAGTGCCTCCGCACTCGGTGTCAGTGGCTCCACAACTCACCGTTTTTATAATAAAGCAGGTGACTCACTGAACGCCAGGCAGGGTGGGCGGCGGCCCAAGGGACACCCACCTCACCCGGAAGGAGACCGGAGACGCAGGTTCCGCGCCCGGAAGTGCCTGCGGGGGGGCGGGGCGGGACTGAGGAACGCCAGGCCCCGCCCCCAAGCGCTGCAGACGCAGCTCGCCCTGGCAGGCCCCGCCCACCCTGGCAGCCCCGCCCCTTCGGCTCGCAGCTTCCTGCCGACCCGGAAGCAGATTCCCCGCTCTAGGGCTCCGTTGGCGGGAGCGAGTTTTGGTATTTCCAGGTCAGGATCGCTCGTGGATACCCCAGCGCAGCGTCCTCCACACCCGCAGCCTGGAACCCAGGGACGTGGAGGAAGTGCGCCCGCCCCGCCCGCCCGCCCTAGCCGCGGGGAGCCCCGCCCAGTTGGGGAGCTGCGGGCCCGGTCCGCTCACTTGCAGGTAAAATCGCCCCGCCCTGCCTGCCGGGGCCCTTTGCACCGTCTCCTCTCCGCACCGCGCAGCACCGGCCGCCCCGCAGGCCCCGACCTGGGGATCTGCAGCCCGCGGGCCCCCTTGAAATCCCTCCTCCCCCCAATCGGGGCGCCTTCCGGGAGCCCACCGCGTCCTGGGCACTTCCGGTTCCTTGGCCCTCAAGCCCCGCCCACCGGCCCAGCTGTCAGGCTTAGTGTTGACAGTCCTGTCCCCCTGGGAGTGCGCTTCCTGCGCGGGACCTCCTCATCCCACCGGTGCGCGAGGGTCGGGTGGGCGGCGAGGGAGACCCGGAGGGGCAGGAAGAAGAAGGGAAAGGCAATGGGGGTGGAAGATGCGACCTGGGCAGAGAGCAGTGCCGTACGGGCAGAGAGACCGGGGACCGCAGGCAGGGGAGGAGACAGGCCAGCGGGAGGGGTTTGGCCAGCACCGGGCCAGAAGGAAGGCAGATCCCAGCGTCATTGGAGTTCTGTTGTCAATCAACAGCTTCTGTTCCCACTGACATGTATTCTGTCCGGTTCCGATGAGGAGGTTCTGACTGGAAGACACTCCTTGGTGCTGAGCAGATAATCGTACACTATTTCAGTGTGTAAGCATGTTGGTGATTTATTTTACATGAACAGTCAAAGCCGAGTTTCATCAATGAGTTCAACATTCAACATGTTCCTCCCCTTGTATTTAAGTTAGCTGGCTGTGAACTAAAATTTCCAGCGAGGTCTATGTCCTCTGTGTCCTGTATCTGAAATCGAGCGAGGATAGGCTGGGTCGTCATGAAATTTTGTGGGAAGAGAGCTTATCTGGCTTCTACGTTGCTCAGAGCTATTTTCATGATTCCCAGTGCTGCTAATTAGGTCTGCTAGCAGTCATAATTTGTTGTTGTTGTTGTTGTTGTTGTAGTTAATCCTCACCCAAGGATATTTTTTCCATTGATTTTTAGAGAGAGTGGAAGGTGGAGGGAGAGACAGAGAGAGAAACATCGATGCGAGAGAAACACATCGATTGGTTGCCACCTGCATGTGTCCAACCAGGGCCAGGGATCCAGCCTGCCACCTAGGTACCTGAATCAAACTCGGAACCCTTTAGTCCACAGGTTGATGCTCTATGCACTGAGCCAGATCAGCTAGGGCTGATAGTTTATGTGATATTCTGGGAAAGAGGAATTAAATACTTGACATCATTGTGATTAAAGCCATGAATGATGGGAGAAGTGGCTCCTGCTCAGTGGTATGAAATTTGAGTTGTACTTTTTTAAATTTTTTATATGTTTTTATTGATTTCAGAGAAAGGAAGGGAGAGGGAGAGAGAGATAGAAACATCAGTGATGGGAAAGAATCATTGATCAGCTGCCTCCTGCCCACTCCACACTGGGGATCAAGCCTGCAACCCAGGCATGTGCCCTGACCTCGATTGAACTGTAACCCCCTGGTTCATGGATCACCACTCAACCACTGAGCCACACCAGTGGGTGGGGGCTAAGCTGTACTTTTTAAGGGCAGGGGTGAGAAGGGCAAACCCTGCCACTCTCCCATCCATGCCTGTCCTTCCTGTGAGGACAGTGCTGCTCCTCTCTACTGGCCTCTCCTGCTGACCTCCTTGCCTGCCCCACAGTCACAACTGAGGGTATGTCAAAAGCATCTCCCCAATGAGGAGAGGGCAGATTCTGTGAAGGGAACTTGGAGAAGGAATAAGAATAAGGATCAGGGAGTGGGAGGAAGACAGACACTCAGGAGCAGGAGAAATTTGCTTGGTACATACTTGGCCTTACTAAACTTCTTGCAGTATTTTAAAGTGGAAATAATCATATTTTTTTACTATTCTTCAAGGGAGGATATCTGTGAAATGCCTAGTGTCAACAGTTGTGGCAAGGAGTTTTTTTTAAGTTCATAGTATTTAGTGAGTAATAGAAACTTTATTAGGTGATATTAATATCCTCTTAATAGCATCCAATAGGAGCAAATGTTTGTAGGCCCAGCAGAAACTCTCACTAAACTTCTGTTTTCTTTCAAAAATCTGCATGCTATATGAAAACATATATGCTAATGTAAAAATAAAACCTCCTCTTGCCTGGACTTTGTCTAGTTACTGTATGACTTTCAAAATGGCTCATTATTTGTTGACTGTACATATTGCTTATTACCAAAAGGATGGTGTAGAATAAGCCATCACTTGAATTTTCTGTGTAATCTACACTCATGTTGTAGCAACTGTCATCCTTTCTCTTTAAAAAAACATTAAATGAATTTTTATTTAGATGTGTTAATTGTTCCAAAATGCTGAAATACAAATGAGTAAAAAATGATCCTATGTAATAAAAGGGTGGTATGCAAACTGTTCCCTTGACCAGGAGTTCTACCAGGCGGCGGGGCCAGCCAGGGGAAGGGAGGGAGTATCCGGCCAGCAGCTGCTAGGGACTGTACCAGTGCACAAACTTCATGCACTGGGCCTCCAATAGAATATAAAAATATATCTGGAAAACAATCTGCCATTCAGAGACAACTCTTATATTGATTAATTTACATGTTTTGTGTGTGTGCCTTACAGGGGATCTGGCCTCTGGGAAGGTGTCTGGACTCAAGGACCATGTCCTGCCCACCAGTCCCCCAAAGCCCCACCTACTACGAACATTAAGACTAAAGCCTTTCCTGGCCCTGTCTTGCTGCACTTTCTGCCTTGTGTTCCACTCTACCACCTTCAGGTGTGTACTTCTGGCATCTCGCTTCTGAGCCTGGGTCTGGTGGTGGGAGCTGGGGCTGTTGTAGGAGCCTGCATTGGCCCCTCCTTGCCCTGTTCCAAGCCTGCAGGTCTGTGGAGCAGCATGAGCAGTTCTGTGGTTCTGTAGCACACTTAGAAAATACTGCAAAGGCTCCAGAAGGCTTAGACCTCCTCTCTAGCTTTCTATGCTTGTTCCCTGGGCCTGGGGGATTTTAATAATTTGTAAGCTGTCCATTACTGAAATTGTTGAATAATTTTAAAATAGTGTTCTGCTACAGGCAAAGGATTTTCACTTCTACCTCTTTTATACTTGAGCCTTTTTAATAGCTACTGCATCTTTTTTTCATTGAGTTTAGTTCTCCTTAAATCACATGAATTTATGGTGATTGTTTAGAGAGAAATATATGTCTGCAGCAGGCACTCTGCCTGGCTCAACATGATGACTGTTTTCCACAGTACATTTGGAACATGTGTGGGAGCTGGCGGAGGTTCCCCACGATCTAAGAAAGTTCATGGCTTCTACATAGTTCATAGTTCTCATCCACACAGGACCTTTCTTGATGCTGCCACTTGGAGGCACACAGCACAACGACTCCTAGGTGCATTCCTCCCACACACAGGGATGTCCTGTTCACTTGCATAGGACTTCCCCACAAAGCCCTCTTTTCATTAGAAGAAAAATTCTAAAGATGAAAAAAGATTTTACATTTAAACCTAAATTTGCCTTGAAATCAAAACCCAACATAATCCCATGGCCAATGCCTTGTTAGTTTTCCTAACTCTTCCTTCCCTCTACTGGGATTATCCATATTCTCTGGGTAACCCCCATCAGTAAACTGTATTATGGAGCATCTTGGGTGGTGAACTGTCCTGGGGAGTGGCTACCTTTTCCCAGTTATCAGATCCTTGCATTAATCTGGTGTTTCTCTTCCAGATCTGATCAAAAGGTCTGTCCTCCCTGTTGAGTGACTCAGAGGAAAATAAGAAAAAATAATGTCCAGAATCGAGACATTTAAACAACTCTTCCGTGCCTCAGACCTCTTCACTCACCCGGGAAGTCCAAGGATTCAAGTCTCCATCCCTGTGCAGGCACACGGCGGGCAGAGAGCAGAGCCTGGTATCCACTAGACGCTGCCTGTTTCTGTGATGCTGAAGACTCTCCTCCCTGTGCACTGCAGAGAAGACTCGAATTTCCAGGTGTGGACCAACATCCAGGGGGCAGATGTTCTCGCTGTTGAGAGGAGCAGGTGCTGCAAAGCTCAGGGTAGAGCAGGTGTTTAAGGGATATCAGAGTTCAGGGCACAGTTGGAGCAGGGAGCATCCAACCACTTTCTGGCCTTGTGGCCACCGAGGGCAGCAGGGTCACAGGTGGAAACTTGGGCTTCCCTGGGTTTTAGAAATGAATGTCGCTTTCCTTCTCTGCAGAGCTTTTCAGCAGGGGAAGATGGTCGCTGGACATTCCGAACCATGGAGATGTGTACCTGACACCTTTCAGGGTATGTACGGACCCTCTTGGGAAAATCATGAGGGACTCCTTGGTGTACTTGGGATGGCTGTTCTCACACAGAAGCCACCCCAGGCTCCTAGAGTGGGCAGATGTAATGGATCCGTGGAGCTCTGATACTGTCCAGGGTCCTTATCATCAGTAATTGCACTTCTTGATTCAAGTTGAAGGTGATTAATTTTAGTTCCTTAATTATCAGAACTTTTGGCTGTTGCAGGGAGAGACCCCTGTTATAAGGCATCTCTTCTGGTAACACATGGGACCAGAGTTTTGGTCGTTGCGTATGAGAGGCTAAATGGTTGTGACATCAGCCTGGCTTTAATGAGGGGAGGGGGCAAGAAGATATAAGTTATTACAGCAGTGATCCTCCGTGTTCCAACTGTGAGCACTTCACACTCATTAAACACTTGCACACCACCAGCCTGTGGGGAAGCTTGACTGTGTCCCCAGCCTGGGCCCTCACCTCTGCCGTCCAGTCCAGGAGAAACTTGTTCAGCATTTTTTTGGTCTTGGGGCACTAAGACCGTGATGATGATGAAGGTGATGGTGATGATGGTGATGATGATACTTCTTAAAACATCAACTACTTATACTTAAAATGAATGTATACTGCATGATTTTTCTTCAAAATCAGTTTGTTCTTTTGTATATCTGTATCTCCATTTATCTTAAGATCATGTCCTTAGTCTCTCAAATGTTTAATATTTTCAAAAGAGTTAAAGCACATAGTCCATATAGGAAAATCAATAGTGAAGCTAAATCATTTATTCTAGGAAGCCCCAAGCTTTTGAAACTTGTAGGGTTTCACAGTCCTTAATCATTAGCTAAATCTAAAGAGACCTTCGGTGCGTTGTTTTTCTATTTCTTAATGGTAAAATATGCACACTCTAGATACCTGAGAAATATGCCCTTTGAATATACATTTTAAACACAAGCATTTTTACTTATATGGAGTCAACCTGACTCAGCCTGAATGATATCATAGATCATAGTCCTCTTAAAAATAAAGAGCAGGATAGACCTCGCTTTAGCTTCTCTACAGTACTGCCCATAACAACCAAAATCTGCAAAATAGTGAGGCTTCTGGAAAGAGACTCTTAAAAGGATGAATAATCGAGGGTATAATCTGTTGATGAAATAATAGACAAATAGATCATTAGAACACAATAGGGAGTCCAGAAATATAGTTCAAACAATACAATGTAGAAAAAATCAATAAGGGGAGAGTAACAACTGGAAATTCACATACAGAAAAATGAAACTTTGTGCCCAGCTGGTGTGGCTCAGTGATTGAGCATTGACCTTTGAACCAGGAGGTCACCATTTGTTTTCCAGGCAGGGCACATGCCTGGGTTTCAGAGTCATTCCCCAGTAGGGGACATGAATCATTGATGTTTCTATTTCTTCCTCTCCCTTCCTCTCTGAAATCAATAAAAAATATATATTTTTAAATTAAACTTTTGAATCACTTCTGTTTATGTCACTTGTTTTGTTTTTCTGAACTTCAGGTACAAATGGGTAAGTTAATGCTACTTTTGTTTATGATATATTATCATTTTCCATGAAATACATTTGATTATTGCTATTTTAGGAGAGAATTTAGAGTTTATAAATACTTTCTCTGTGTGTGTCTCACACACTTTTATGTGTACTATTGTACATACATATGCACATAAGCATACGTGTGTGCACGCTGAAATACAGGGATACTGCAGCTAATGAAGGTTAATACAGAATAGGATTTCAGCTACCACCTTATGAAAATATGAGATGGACCAAGTAAATTTCCAGCAATTCTGTATTATCTGGGCTTCCTTGACCTAGAGGACCGAGGCAGTACATGCCAGTGCCTCTATGACTCATGTATATCCTCCTGCCACTTTCTGCTGGCAGAGATTTAAAGGACTTGATTGGGATGGGATGGGTGCCATTGAATCCTCCAAATGGAATAAGTTGTTGAATTGATAACTCTATCAAAAAACACGTTCTTAGTTGCTTGGGTATTTGAGCAGGAGGAAATGAGGGTCCAGAGGATTACGTGGAGGTTGGAAAATCCCTGCTAGTGCATAAGGCAGTACTGACACCTGAGAAATTCCACAGTGCTTACCTGCAGGTGAATACCAATGTCTGCATATGGTGTGTGTCGGGGATTACTATACTTGGAAATCAGGGAGGGAATTGAATAGCTGAATGCCATGGCCTAATTAGCATACAAAGCTCAGTACATTTGATATTCTTATCCATAAGGTTTCTGTATTTCTTTGCTTTTTATTATCAACTGTACTCACAGTCTTCATTCTTGTGGCCCTAGGGCAGGAGGAGAGTCCTCTGCATTTCTTGAAGACTCGCTGCCTGTTTGTTGGTTAGGCTGGGAGTAGGGAACACACCCAGCTGAACACTGGAGTTTCATGACAGGAGGGTCTGGATATTGTGCACAAGATTGGAGTCTCATGGCTTCTTTCTCTATCCTCAGCTTTGCCTGTGTCCTTTTGTCTGTGAGTGAAAACCCAGAGAAAGATACCTGGCAACTGAGTCACTGACCATGCAGCCGCTGGTGAGTAGGAATGCTTCTTTCTACTGAAATCACACTGCTGTTGACATCAGTGGGCAGATTTCTCCTACTTCATCACTGTCCTACGCAATCAGGAGGTAGTCAGAGATCTGAGCTCCAGTGAAATTTCCCCAGGACTCTGAGATGGCTGTAATGGGTCAGGCACCTCCCAATGACTAACATTCTTCCTAACATCATACTGATTTATTCCAGCAGGTTGTACGTGTGCAGAAGAGATGAGAGAAGCTTTCTCTAATTCAGTGCATGGCCTCACTGGGAAATCATGAACTCCTTAATCATGCTATTGATTACAGAGGTGGGTGGGTGTGTGAACAGAGATGAACGAGGGGTAGAACTGGGGAGGCAATGGTTTCATCAGGGAGGCCAGTCATTGAATGTTACAGGTGCTCAGTGAGCATGAGGAATCATTCATTTATTTTTTCCATGTTAAATGGAAGGTCTTGCTAGAATATATTTTCACTTTTGAAAAATTCTTAAAGGACACCTAAAATTCTCATGATCATTCTTGTCCCAGTTACACATTTTGTCTTTCTGTAATTGACCTTTCCTTCATACTTGGAAAGTATGGTAGCTGGAATTCATGTCTATGCACTTTTATGCCTTACCTGCAGCTGTGCATGCAGGGCAGGGAGTAGAGCAGAGTCAAATGTAGGACTCTGGAAAATCGTTGGAGAACTAGATAGACCTAAACCAATCCAGGGGCTCTTCTATCCATTAGCTGGAGACAAGATAAAGCTACAAAGGACACAGTGACAACTGCTGCTTGAGGCCCCAGATAAAGTCAAGGATGGGAGGCCTCATCCCACAGGACGGTCAGGTTAGGACTGTCCTTCAGCACAGCCTCTCAGAGCCCTGGCTTGTGCTGCTGACCATCTGACCTGTTGTTTATTATGAACACCTGAGTCCTGTAGCAATAAGACAGACAGCACCTACTGGTACCAAGTTCTGTGTGAAACTTACTCATTTCTGAGGAATGCTGGAGATTGCTTCAAGGATCCTGGACATTTTAGTGAGTTATAGACCAATGGCATGTATTTAATACATGTTTACATAGAAAAGATTAGTTCATGGAATCTTTCAACACTCACAACACATTATTAAACCCTTTCATAGACAAGGAGTCTGAGGTTCACGCAGGGGAGTGATGTAACTATAGTCATGATTCAACAGTGGCAAATCATAGTTATCGTTTGCCTTAATTAGAAGTCTGTAAAATTACTTGACATTAACCAGGAAGTGAGTTTTACTTATAACTTTTTAAGGGTCTGGAAGTAAAAATCAGTTCTGGAAAATTTCAAGGTTATGTTACACCATATTTCATATGATTTTCCTTTTTAACAAAGACTTATTAGTTCAGACTATGAATATGTCTGTGATACATCTGAAAGGCAGATGCCAGCTCAGCACTGAGAACCCCAACTTCAGTTTGATCTTGCTATATACCCAGCTCCTCATCCCCCTTTCTTATTTTGCCATCTCTACCCTCCTCCTCTGGACATTGGCTGGGGTTACTCTGTCGAAACCAGAATGTCCATGATGTTTCAGGAATCGGTGATATTTGAAGATGTAGCTGTTGACTTCACCCAGGAAGAGTGGGCCCTGCTGGACACACCCCAGAGAAAGCTGTACAGAGATGTGATGCTGGAGAACATCAGTCACCTGGTTTCCCTGGGTGAGTGTGTCAACTTTTATGTATGTATGTATGTAAATAGGTATTCATTCATTCATTCAACAGTTATCTAGAATAGCTTCCACAGCCCACTCCTCTCTCTACCATGATTCTGTCATAGACCTTAAAACTACATGGAATAAAAGTTGTCTCTTTTCATTTACTTACACCTAGTTTCTCACCCAACTAGAATGTAATCTTGATCCCAATTTAATGTCTTTCTTACTACTCAATATCTAACACTCAGAACAGAACTGGGAGCTCAATGAATATTTTTGAATGCTTAAATAAATTGATTAAATTTTCTAAATTATTATTCTGTTCTAGTCACTATGCTGAACTTAAGACCAGAGTAGTGAAAATGACAAACTTGATTATTCTTTTGAAACTTACATTTGAAAATAATATTCAAGTCACTTTGGAGACATTTAATTTCCCCATTTTTGAAAAGATGGAAGATTCTGCTTTCTGACTGAATGTGAGGGTGGACATCAGCACCCAGAGGTCTTACTACTGTGGACATGTGACTTGGATTTCTTACCTGTTTTCTTTGTTAAAGGTGTTGGTGCCTTTGATGACCTGCAGTGATCTTATTCTTCCTCAATAGCCTGTCGTGAACTTGATGAGAATGCATTTTTATTAGTACACTAGTGCCCAGTGCATGGATTTGTGCACATTGAAAGGAAATTAATTAGAAGGTGGCCAGCAGAGCGGGACTGGGCGAGATGGGCCAGACATGCCCTGGAGCCAGCCTCCTGTGGTCCCTTCCCGGCCGGCCACACCTGGGGTAGCGCCACGGCTCACAGGGCGTCTACAGAGTGAGCAGGGTCCCTCCAGCACATGAGGTCCCGCAACCTGGCCTGTGGGGATCAGGCCACAACCGGCTCTCCAACATCCCCCAGGGTGTCCCGGATTGCGAGAGGGAGGTTCTCAGGTGACACACCCTGGGGTCAGGCTCCCTCCTCTCTGTTTTTGGGGTGTGTGACCTGAGAACCACCACTGCGAAGTCACTGCACCTCAGCAGCTCCTGCATTGAGCATCTGCCCCCTGGTGGTCAGTGTGCATCATACCAGCCAGTCGGACAGTCAGAAGGTCACTTAGCCTTTTATATATAGAGAGATATCTCAAAATCCATATAACTTTCTTTCACAAACAGGGTATCGGATCTGCAAATCAGATGTGACTTTTCAGCTCGAGCAAGGAGAAGAGCTATGGAGTGAAGGGACTGGGTTTCTCCAAGGCCAGAGTGCAGGTGAGCAGCGGGGGTCAGGGCTTCAGTGTGAGGAGATGTCTGCTCAGTGACTGAGTAAGTCCTTAGACCAGTGATAACGAACCTTTTGAGCTCGGCGTGTCAGCATTTTGAAAAACCCTAACTTACCTCTGGTGCCATGTCACATATAGAAATGTTTTGATATTTGCAACTATAGTAAAACAAAGATTTATATTTTTCATATTTATTTTATATATTTAAATGCCATTTAACAAAGAAAAATCAACCAAAAAAATGAGTTCGCGTGTCACCTCTGACACGCATGTCATAGGTTCGCCATCACTGCCTTAGACTATCAAGTGAAGGCTTTGGGAAGTTTGAGTGACATTTTTCAAAATGTAGATGGACAATGAAGCAAAATTATTCAGATGCTGTCATTATTCCACATACATATATATATATATATATATATATATATATATATATATATATCAGTCAAAATTCATGTGTCCTGTCATTGGCTCGAGGGATAAGGATTTTCATATGCTATTGAAATTAAGCTTTCACATAATAATCTTGTTCTGATCTTTCCCTTTGAAAGTTTCTCTCTCTTTTGCTACCCAACATCTATTTTATGTTTTTTGCACTTCAATCCTGAAAATCTTTACTAATTGTCAGTGCCTTTGGGTGTGTTTCTACTTCCTTAGAGTATTCCCCATCAGAATGCCAATTTTTGAGACATACTCACATCTTCATTTCCCTAAAGCCATTCTAATTTTTTAAAAATTATTTTAGGCAGGGAAAGTGCCGTTCAAAATGAAGAAATAATAGCCACACAACACACCAGTGGAAAGGACACATTTACAATCATGCAATTGGTAAGTTTCATGAGTGTTCACTCTGGTCATCCAAATCAAAACTTGGCAATTGGATGTTAGTACTTGAGTACAATAGTGTGATTTATGTTAATTTGGGATAAAGCTTTTTCTGAGCAAAAAACTTGGAGTAGTTTCAATGTAGAGAAGGAATTAACCTAAGCTCATAACTATAACCTGAGATATTAATAAAAAGGACAACTGCATAAATGTTGTTTGTATACCTAGTCTTTGAAACATAATTGAAGTTTTCAAAATTAACCTATAAGCTCTGTAGTTGGGATGCTACAAAAGAGAAAATCTGTGTGTGGAGTGGAGTAACACACCAGCATATGTAGGCATCATTGGAAACATTTTAATTAGATATCATCACGGAAAGATTAGTTTAGTACTCATATGTAGAGAAGTGAATGTATGAACTTATGTGGGCAAATCAATTAACAGCCTTTCATCTTTTTCCCCAAAGCAGAAATTTCACACTCAAGAGGATCCCTATGAATATAATGATTTGGGAGATTTCACTCATAGCTCCACAGTGACTCAACATGTGTTAACTCATATGGAAAAGAAACCCTGTATCAGCAAACAATATCAAAAATCCTTTAGTGACCAGTCATATGTTAATCAACATAAGCAACTTTACACCAGAGTTAAATCATATGAGTGCCATCTATGTGGGAAAACCTTCAGTAATTGCTCTAGCCTTAGAAGACATGAGATGACTCACACTGGAGAGAAACCGTACGAATGCCACATCTGTGGGAATGCCTTTATTCAGAGCTCTGACCTTAGAAAACATAGTCTCACTCATACCGGAGAGAAACCTTATGAATGTCATATATGTGGGAAAGCCTTCAGTCAGTCGTCTAACCTCAGACAGCACCAAAGGACACACACTGGAGAACAACCGTATGAGTGTTGTCAGTGTGGCAAAGCCTTCAGTAAATGTTCTGCCCTGAGACGACATGAGAGAACTCACACAGGAGAGAAACCTTATGGATGTCATCTGTGTGGGAAAGCCTTCAGTCAGTGTTCTGCCCTTAGACGACATGAAGGAACCCACAATGTAGAGAGAATTATGAATGCCTTCAGTAAATATTCTGACCTGAGATGACATGGTATTATAAGTAATGAATATAGAAGAAAACTCAATCATAGTTTTAACATTAAAAAACAGCAAGGACTCCCACATTAAGGAAACACTGTCTGTGATCAATGTGGAAGGTCCTGCAGTCATCCTTACTCATCTTCCATGTGAAAATGTAGATGGAAGATAATCCAGTTGTATGGAATCTCTCTGGCAAAGCCTTCAGTCACTCGTCTGACCATAGGTGACATGGGAGAACTCACACTGGAAGCATGAAGAATGCAGAAGTCTGCAGCAACAGCTCTCGGCTTCATACTAGAAAATTCACACGGGAGAACCCCTCAGTCTGCAGTCACGGGGAATGCTTTCATTTATAATTCATGGTAAACAATGTGAGCAAACCCCACTTGGGAGAACCCCTAGGTCTGTAGTTGCTATGAACATTTATTCAGCCAAGCTCCAAGCATGGTGTGCACAAGAAAACTCAGTGATGAAATAACCACTAGACCAGTATTTAGGAGACTAAAACCTCTTGAGGAATACCAATAATTTTTCCTTGGGAAATGATTCAGTGAAAACATATGAGAAGTCCTTTATTCAGAGAGGAATGCTGTGGCTCATATGAGAATTTGGAGAATAGAAAATACGTTCTGTGTCATGAAAGAAGGACAGAGATTACTCATTTATAGTCAGCACTACAGTCCTCATGTTGAGGGGACAGCAGTTCTATACTCAAAGTGGAGAAAGCTTCAGCTGGATTTCATACCTGAAAACTCAATCTAGGGGGAAAAAAACCCTCTAGAGGTTTATTTAACATACTAATTAGCACATGATTCATAATTTTAAGGGGAAAAAAACTATTCCTGGGGAAAATATGTCATATAAATGCAAGATAGGGTGATCTGAGAATATTAAATGCAAAATTTTGTAAGAAATTAGATTAAACTTTTTCAATAGATGATTGCTATTAAACAATAAACTGTTGCTGAAAAAATCTATGTTGATAAAATCCTGGTTTTCTTTTTTTACACAGTTGTAAATGCAGATGTGGGAGTCTGCACACCTTGGCATGTGGGTTAGAGGTTCAGCCTGTCTCTCTGAGTATTCCTTTCTCCCACAGCTGCTTTCATACAGCTCATCATCTTCTGTCTTCATCTGTGTCCTAGTGGTCACAGCAGGGATCTTTGACAAGTTTCTCTGTGCGCTGTGAGCCTGGCCCAGCAGGGCATGGGACAGTGTCATAACTAGTATAAACAGTAAGATAGGCTCCAGCCCTGCCCCTGCCCCTGCCCCTGAGCAGCTCTGCCCTTCCAGGCCAAGAATTTTTGCATTATTTCCATGATGTTTCTGATTCCAACTAATTTGGACAGAAGTTCATCCCACATCTTATTTAGATGAGCCCTGAGTTATGCACTTACTCATTCCCCAAACTGAGCCAGTGCTGTGTGTCCCCACAGCAGCCCAGAAAGAAAACTCCAGCAAGATAGAATTACTTTGCCCCAGGGGTTGGGAGTATATTACTCTTCAACCAACCCCAATACTGGACCTGAGCCTCAAGGAGAAATGCTCTCAAGACATAACTGGGATGATTTGTGCTCTTCCAAAACTGGCACAATCCCAAATCATAGCCTGAGACCAGTGAAAGGAGCACTTCTCTGTGTGACATTAATACATCATTATTTTTTAGAAAGCTCCTCAACTGACTCTCTACAGCTGGAGTGGCGGCGGGGGGGGGGGGGGTCAAGTCATGTATGAGATTAGCCATCAGAATTCAACATCTCGGCCCTCTGGCTAGAGAGACATGGGTTGTGATCAGCCAGGGAGACATGGAAGTGTGAACAAGGGTCAAAGAGAACAAATTTGTGGTGAGAAGTTCAGACTGTGGAGACACACCCCAGGGTTCTAATTTCCACTGTCACAGCCCATGAGACCTTGTAACTGAACCTTTCTGTGACTCAGTTTCTTCATTTCAAAGGTGGAAATAGCTGAGTACCTTTATCTTAGAGTCGCTATGAGCACTAATGTATTGATACTGTATATACCAAGTTATTACAGCTGGTGGGCACTTTGTGTTTGCAAATAAAAATATTTTACTAGGTACACTTGAAACCTGCTCCACAATAAATTTAATTACAAATATATTTTTTACTATTTACATTGCTATCTGGGTACACCAGTCTTCTTTTATCTTATTTTTTACATTGAAATATTTTATAATCATTTTCTAAAATAAAGTCACATATTATTACATAACTAATCTACTTAATATATAATTTGTCTCCAAACTGTAGCTGACTTCAGGTGTGATCCAGGGTAAAATTTGGATTTGAGACCTATCTGGTGGCCTAGCCAGGAACCACACTTTTCCCAGGGGGTCTCCAGGAGGGAAGGGGCAGGTCCGGCTGCTGTGCTGATGCTGGGATCCCTAGGATTGATGTCTACCCACTCAGAGAAGCACGTCCCAGTGGGATGTATCTCCACTAACCTATGCATATAAGTATGTTGAGCAGTTGCAGTGAGATCAAGGGGTCTGGGAGTTGAAAGAGGACAATTACATGACTACACAGTGACAGAATCACACAAGTAGCTTAATTTGGGTGCCACACTGACCACTTGCTGGTGAAGGGAAGTCCCTCACAGGGGGGGATGGTTCCTTCCAGAGGCAGCAGTGCAGGGCTACCACCCAGAGGGAAGAGAGCTTTTTGGTTATTGATAGAGTCTGGGGAGAGGGTGCTTCCTTGTCAGATGAAGTCCCTCTGCCATAAGATGGGGTGTCTCGGGGACAGAACTACAGAAGACTAGCAGCAGCTTAGCGACTTGTGTAGTCCATAGTTTACCTCACTTAGGGCTTGCCAATGGTGGGTGCATTTTAGCAGGGTATGTGCAGCAGGCAGACTCTAAATGGTTACATGTGCTAACTTGAGCTATATTTAGAACAATTCAGAGAGTGAAAGTTGGAGTTTGGCACTGGTGGGCTTTTAAGCTAATGGGCCTGGACTGCTGGTTGATGTTTCTATCTCATCGATGTTTCTAACTCTCTATCCCTCTCCCTTCCTCTCTGTAAAAGATCAATAAAATATATTTTAAAAAAGAAAAATAAATCTTCCATCTAAATGACAACAGCAGTGGGTTTATGAGATCTCACCGTGATGGCAACATACAAGAGATCTACCCAGATCCCCATTCAGATTCAGAGGAACAGCAAAAAGTCAGGCATGAAAACTTTTTTAATTTCCTTATTGCTTCAGTTGACTTATTCCAAAATAAGAGAATCTATTTTTTCAGGTATTTTGATTTTAGGACAGCTTAAGATGCACAATATGGTGACTTGCTCTACATATTCATTGGGAAAGGATCCCACACGATCAAGCTCATGAATACATCCATCCCTTCACATCACTTCAAACTCATTTCTGTTTGTCTGTGCTGGGAAACCTTAAGTTCTTGGAGTTATTGGGGTCTGTTAGAAAATCATGTTTAATTAGAAAAGCCATTGTACAGTGTTTTAGAAAAATGGGAAACAGCCATAACTGAAATATAGGACATTAAATGCGGGGTAGTTAGCACATACACAGAGTCAAAATTTTTCAGGAGAAAAGACTTCTGATGGCATTCAAAATTCCAACAGATTCCATCAGAAGAGATAAGGAGCAAATTGAACAATTAATAATTTAAAACATTAGACTAGGGTGGTGTATGCTACTTCGTATAATTCCCCCAGTAAACGGGCCTTATTTCTCAGACATGACACAGTTAACTCTGACTTCTGAGGCTGAACCTAAGAGTGGACAAAATACAACTTCTGGGCTAAGGCAGACCAGAGATAATTAAGGTCATGGGCCGTACCAGCCTGGAGAGACAGACCCAGGGAGGTGCAGTGGCCAGGCTGAGCTCCAGGTGCAGAGACCCAAAGGGTGGGCCCTGAGTATAATCACAATGAAAGAGAACTTATCAATTATAGACAAAAGACAAGGGAGGTCACTGGGAGATAAAACATATGAAAATTATAAAATAGGGAATTCTTTGATTTTTGTTCTAAAAGCTCTGAAGGGAGCTACAGGATGGTATTTGGGGCGGGGGGGGTGGGGGGTGGGGTGTGAACAGTGAAGCCTCTGACCACAATCTACATCTTACTTGATTCTGATTTTTATGCCCGGCACTCACTCCAGATTGGGCCTTAGCTGTTTCTGCCAACCCGAAGGAACAGTCTAGAAAATAAAGCTGATAGGAGACAGAGATCTGCCGACCTGGAACCAAGAAAGCTCATTGACTTTTGTTCTAAAAGCTCTGAACTGAGCTAAAGATTGGTGGAGGCAGTGGGGGAGGAAAGGGTTAATTCTAATATTTGTGCTCAACACTGACTCCAGAGCTGCAATAAGGTAAAATCCCTAATCTTATCAGCCACTCCTTAAACTGTTTTTGTTGTTTTTTAATAATGAACAAAACTTGCTGTCCCAAGGCAAAATGAAAGGATGTTTACCACTTTGTCCCCCAAGATAAGAATGTGGTCCTTCAACAAACACCCAGGTTGAACATAAACATCAAAGGGAGATGCTCCCAGCAGACCCACTGGGCTGATCTGTGCTCCTACCGACTAGCACAGTCTGGGGTCACTTAAGATCAATGGTAGGACAAGCAGGGACAAGGATCTCATAAGAAGTTGGGTGTCCAGTCTGAGCCACAGGTGTAGGGACACCAGGGGTGGAACCACAGTTCCAGGTCCTTAACCAGGGTCACCATGGGGGCACATTCATCAATAACAGAGGACAGACCAATGAGAAGGTCAGTGGAAATTCATATGTATGCAAATTATAAAATGGGAAACTACCCAGAATGCCCACATTTTGAAATCAGACAGGCCCCGCCTGTGCTGGAGCAAAGCTGGGCCTGATTGGTTGACTTGCTTGGAACACAATTCTCTGGGGAAGGAAGTAACAAAAGGCAAAAATGGGATGACTTGCCTTTAGCTTCCTCAAAGCCTCTTAGTAAACACCTAGGAATGTGCCTCAAATATCCAGTCAGATGACAGTGGAAGAGAAACTGAAGAAAGTACCAAGTATCAACCAGTAGAAGAGACTGAAGGAACAAGTCCAAGTTTATGTACATCCACCTGCAGGACAGACTGTGACCTGGGAGGACATAGAGTTCATTGTGCAGACATGGAATGACTCAGGCACAGTGATTTGAGTCAAAGGGAAAGTGCAAAGTGAGCTAGTCCCACAAGAACAAAATTGGGGGCTCCATCCCTGTGAGTTCCCTAGAGGGTCCTCTTCCAAGACACAGAGGCGACAACGGTGGCAGGAGGTCAGGATTGAGGTTGAGAAGAAGAAAGGCTTTTCATAGAATCCGAGCTTCATTTGGAAACATGAAGAGTTCTGGGGGTGAAGGAGGTCATTGGTTGCACACACTGTGGGCGGACTTCATGCCAAAGAACTCTCCGCTCTGTGTATTACCAGTCCGTTTATCTCCCAAGCATGTCAGCACATTAAACAAGGCAAAGTGTTGAAGGAAACAGCAGGCATTTCCACAAATGTTCGTTTTTCTTAAAGGAGGTACATCTTCCTAAGAGTAAAAAAACAGGTCAGTGTAAAGAATAAATAACTAAAAACGCTAAAGGACCCAGAAAAGCAAATCCCTTCAAGCATTGTGTCCCTCCATGCAATTATGCTAATTTGGTAGTCTGCGCCTACTTGGGAATTCCCCTCCAACCAGTATAAAAGTCCAGGGAGGACTGGAAATTCTGCCAGTAGCCCTGAAACAGGCCCCTTGGAAGCTGCAGCGGGCCCAGGGGAGCTGGTCCAGCACCCATTTTCTGAGGACCTGCTGACGGACTGCAGGAGCACAGCGGGATTGCAGGTGGGTTTCCTTCCATATTCTTTTCTAGAAAGCCTGTTTTCTTGGTTGTAGAGAGAGAGGAAGGGAGAAAGAAAGGGCCATAAATGTTGATGACGGAGAAACATCTATTGGCTACCTCCTGCACACCTCCAACCGGGGATGG